TGTATAAGAGGTGTGGCTAGTAAGCGCCATACCGGTATGTGGCAGTTGGCCCTTTATTAGGAATCCCAAGTTAAAATTGGACAGATTCAGAATGTTGTACTGTGTAACTCAAACTCAATGACCCCCCCCCCCCCCCATTCACCGATACAACTGAAAACAAGTTGCCTGGCTGCCTGGTTTTGTGTTTGTTGGGGACATTTTGTGAGCACTACTTGCTGCGTGTGTGCACTCAACATTGAAATTTGGTTTCCATTTGATGGTACATCTCTCAGTCTGTCTGTTTTTGGCTGACCTTTGCTTATACGCCATCGTTGACGTTCGGCTCGTCAAGCTTTTCCTGAGCCATCCGTCTACCTGTCTGTCTGACTCTGTGTGTGTGTGTGTGCGTGTGTGCGTGCGTGTGTGTGGTTCTGTCTCTCTTTCTATCTGTCTCTCTCTCTCTCTCTTTCTGTCTGTCTGTCTCTCTTTCCTGTGTGTATGTACCTGAATCACACTGTGGCGTGCAGTGCCCGGCTAACGCCAGCTTGGCAGACTGGAACAAGCTGAAGGACAGCAAGCTGGGGGCCACCGAGATCGCCAGGGCCGTCAACTCCATCGTCCGCTCAACGGCCGTCTCTCTGCGTCACGACAGCTCTTCCGTCAGCAGTGGCAAGGCGGCCGAGATGGACAGTAGCGGTGGAGGTTCAACGGAGGACAGCCAGGACTTGTTCAGCTCGTATCCGCCAACGCAGCCCATGTAACTGTAGCACTTTTAGGAGAACAGCGAGCGGCGGCGATTCCGAGCATCTCCCAGGTGTGTGTGTGTGTGTGTGTGTGTGTGTGTGTGTGTGTGTGTGTGTGTGTGTGAAAGAGTGTGTGTGTGTGTGTGTGTGCGTGTGTGTGTGAACGAGTGTGTGTGTGTGTGTGTGTGTGTGTGTGCATGTGCATGTTTTGTTCACCAGGGAGAAGTGCGGCGTTGAGCAATGCATTGCTCCCACGTGCGTGCACGCGTGTGCGGCATCTACCATGCCCCGTGCCAGCAGATGCGCTCGCAAGTTGTCCGACCAGCAGCGGTGTAGCAGCAACAGGAGCTGCCTGCCCTGCCCAGCTGCACGGCTGCCTGTCTTTCCGAGCATGCTGCACATCGCGTGGAATGGTGTGCTGGCTGCACCACCGACCGCTTGAGTTCAGTACAACGACTGGCAGTGGGGCAGACCTAGCCCCCACTCTCTGTGAATCTCCACTGCTTTCGGCGAAGCGCAGTCATGGATGCCGTTCAGCAAGCTGGGCTGCTCAACACCAGAGCTTGCCTGTTACTTGTGGGAACGCTAGACTAGAAGCAGGGAGTGGTAAAATACCGGCATTTTACTACTCCCTGCTTAGAAGTACAGTTGAACGGCAAATTGAGGTTGGCTACTTTTGCTGTCTTCTCCGCTAAGACTTTTACGACTTCAAACCGTTTTCTAAATATTCGAATCTGACCTACAATCTGCACTTATCAATATATACACACCCACTTGCACCAAAACATGACGGAACGGTTTTTATTACTTTTTAATTTTTATCCAGCTATGCACAGTCGACATAGGTGCAGCTGTTTATAAATACGGTTTGCTGGCAGTACTTAGTTAGGTAGGTAGTTGTATGGGGTTTAGGGTCTGTGCTGTTGTAACGTGGCATTCGCATCCGTTGAGCTCGGTCCGCGCTGTGCGAGGACCGGCACCGTCGTTACAATTGCGTCGTGTATTCGAGTTGGTGGAGCATCTGCTAGCCACGTGTGTGCACCTGCAAGCCCTGTGTGTGCACGTGTGCTGGCTCGAGCGCTTACTGCTTTTATATGTACTCTTATTTTAGCTCAGAATCCTTTTCAGCTGTGTTTTTTTGAGATTCGAATTGATTTACGCTACTACCCCCCCCCGGATGTTTCTCTTCAAGCGACTCTGCATGGGCAGCAGTTTGTTGTGTAGCATGCATTTTTAAAATGTATTATGATAGTGTTGGGTATTCTGCTAGACGTGTTGAAGCATGCACTGCACGGAGCATGTGCCTATCAGCAACGCCGGTCGCAGAAGAGCGCGCGCGTAGCTGATGAACAACCGGGCTATAGACCCGATAATACTGCCAAAGGGACACCGAATCGCGCAGCTCGTCATCAAGTCGTAACCATGATCGCGGGAATCAACGTGCGGCGTCCAACCACAGGGTGTTTATACGTGAGGAGCCTGTTCCGCTGCATGGCATTCCTAGATCTTAGTTTCCATACAGTACACATACACGGGGTCACAACTAACTTTGCTATTAAAGGGGAAGTATACCCTAAAATCAAATTTTCACCAGTTGTAGTCTTCTGGGTGCTGAGTCGAATGGTCTTGGTCCGAGGAAGCTGCGACGCTCCCTTCCTACTTGAATCCCAATCGAACTCGCGCACTTCCACCGAAACTGGGTGACTGCGCCCTACTAGATGGGGATTTGTATGCAAAATGTCACTAAAAGCGCCATTTCGTTCTTATAAAAGCACGGATGACCGCGATTGGCCCATATGTTGTAGTCTTTTGGACGCTGAATCGACTGGTTTTGGTCCGAAAAGGCTGCGATGCAGCGTTCCTCCTTTATTCCCAATCGAACATGGTTGAACAAGCGGTCACGTGCTCCTGCGTACACCAGTCACCTGGTCACCGTGCCTGCAGGGTACAACTTACTAGCCTGTTTGACCTTTTTTGGGTGCAGTCCTGTCACTCGAGTTGAACTCGAGTTGAACCTTGGTGTGAAATTTGTCACCTGCTGGCGCGGTGACCAGGTGATTTGGGCACCCAGGAGCACGTGACCGCTTCTTCAACCATGTTCGATTGGGAATAAAGGAGGAACGCTGCATCGCAGCCTTTTCGGACCAAAACCAGTCGACTCAGCGTCCAAAAGACTACAACATATGGGCCAATCGCGGTCATCCGTACTTTTATAAGAACGAAATGGCGCTTTTAGTGACATTTTGCATACAAATCCCCATCTAGTAGGGCGCAGTCACCCAGTTTCGGTGGAAGTGCGCGAGTTCGATTGGGATTCAAGTAGGAAGGGAGCGTCGCAGCTTCCTCGGACCAAGACCATTCGACTCAGCGCCCAGAAGACTACAACTGGTGAAAATTTGATTTTAGGGTATACTTCCCCTTTAAACATTATAACTAAAAGAGTGCAGTGCATCCCGAACACCCAGGCTAGAAAAGTAGAAATTCACCATAAAAAAAAGCTGATGTTCCATTAATCTTTGTTTCCTGTTTCCAGTTTGGCACGTTATTGCATTTTTTTGGGATGACTAGTTCAAGAATGCAGCAGTGCATGCTGCTGCTCAGGTCAATGCGGCCTGGCACTGGGTGATAGTACATGCACGGTAGCAGTGTATCAGAGCTGGGCTGAACACTGGGTTCGGCCCTGGCACAGCGCTGCTGCATCATGATCTGTGCAGAAAGACAGCGCGCTATGCACCCGGTGTCTAAATCAGGTGTAACGGATTAACAAAAAATCGTTTTCAGGGGAAAGCCCCCACATCCAGGATCAAGGCACTGATGTACTTCTGACGTACTTTTAACACCACTAAATAAATTGTTGACAACAAGAAATAGAATAGGAGGCTCAGAGTAGGGTATCAGTGCTCCCCCACCATCGCTGCCTGCTTGAGCTTGTCATGAACCAGCCATGGAGACTAGCAGCAGTGATGGTGAACGGATGCTATGTGGCCAAAAATAATTGAATTCTGAAAAATAATGTGTGATAGTGAGGCCGTATAGGGATATAGGGATATACTATGATATACTATAGTCAAAATAGTGCCTACTCTTTTTTCTTTTTTTTAAATTAGCCAAAAATAGTAATACAATACAGGCGCCGCCTACTGGTTTGTTTGCGCCGAAAAATACTATATCTTTGAGAGGGTGCGTATGCAGAGCAAGGCAGTCGTTATGTAAGGCTGCCTTATACGACTACCACTAAAAAGGCAATAATTAGATAAATTTGACAAAAGACAAAAAAAGGACCTCCAAACTTCCCCACCGGTGAACCGCCACCACCACATGTACTAGTACCCCTCAGGTCAAAAGCTGCTGCTAAACCCGCAGATCAAAAACAGGCACTTTGATCTGAGAATTCTCGTTGCGAAAGCCTCTAGCTCCCACCTAGATAGAGATTGAGGCAGTGACTGCAACTTTTTAAAGGATAAAACAAAACAAAAAACATTGCAACAACGACTGACTCACTGGGCTTGAGCATAACGTTCCTATACGACGAATGACTTGACATCCTGGTGCGATGGTTGACATCCTGGTGCGATGACACCAGAAGTAGACCACCTGGCCCGGCACCCGAGGGCTAGCTGCTCAGCATCTAGAGGCGGTAGAGGCGCAGTGCATTGTCCCTGAACATCTGCTCGGCGTTCGCCTGCGAGTAGCCCAGGTCACCGCAGACCTCCAGATACGTGCCCAGGAGATCAGCGTACTTGCCATTGATCTTGTCAACCGGAAAGTTACTCGCAAACATACACCTGTACACACACACACACACACACACAAATGGATAGACAGACGGAGAAAAAGAGACACACAAAGACAGGAAGGAAGAGGGTGAGGGAAAGAGAGAGAGAGAGAGAGAGAGAGAGAGAGAGAGAGAGAGAGAGAGAGAGAGAGAGAAAGACACACACACACACACACACACACACACACACACACACACACACACACACACACACACACACCATATATGACCATTTGACACACACAAACACACACGGAAAAGGTAGAGCGCTGAGATGAGTTTGATCGCGACTGAAACAGCCTTGGACGTGACAGCCACATTATACATTAGCAACATGGCACACCAGCTCATCGACAGTGCCAGAAAACATTGAAGTACAATCATGTAACCAGTCTACTGTAAAAGCAGAAATTTTTGGCGGTGTTTTATTTTAGGTAACTTCTGTGCCGAAATTTTTACCGAAAATGAAACGCACCAAAAATGTCGGTATAGTGCACTGTAGTACACCTACCTGGAAAACGAGTTTACCGAAAATTTCCCTCCACCGAGCCGCCGATTTTAGAGAATACCGAAAATATTACACCACCGAAAATTTCTGTTTTTACAGTATGAGCACAGCCCTGGTCACAGCCCTGGTCACAACCCTGGTCACAGCCCTGGTCACAGCCCTGGTCACAGCCCTGGTCACAGCCCTGGTCACAGCCCTGGTCACAGCCCTGGTCACAGCCCTGGTCACATACCTGGTCACAGCCCTGGTCACAGCCCTGGTCACAGCCCTGGTCACAGCCCTGGTCACAGCCCTGGTCACAGCCCTGGTCACATACCTGCCCACAGAGAATGTGTTGATGGCATACTCCAGCAGCGGATGCAGCACCTGCTTGTTCCACTCCTTGTAGTACATGTTGAAGCCGGAGAGCTTGACGGCTATGTTGTCATGACGACTCAAAGCACTCATACCTGCGCAATGGATGGGGGGAGGGGGGGGGGGGGTACGGGCAGGGAGAGAGCAAACACACCGTATGTTAGGCAAATGCCGTAATGTCGCGGTTAACAGCACGTGCTTACGGCCGTAAAAGCCAGGGATCAAAGCATGCTTCTATTCAAGCCATGTTTCTAATCAAACCATGCTTCTACGTCAACATCATCAGTCTGCACTGTGCAGTGCATACTGCAATGCATGTACTCGCACATGTACTTTGCAGAGAGTGGCTTCTATTCAAATCATGCTTCTGTGTCAGGGCGCGCTTCAAAAAATCGGCTTTATTCGAGTCATGCTTCTATACAGGTCATGCTTTCATACGCGACACTACGTTGTTAAAGCAAGCATGAAGGTACATGTAGAAGCAAACTTAACCTCTCAGGACTTGACCAGATGGACGGTTGATGTATGACCACTACCGACCTTACCTTCTTTCCAGCTCTGTATAGCATCATCAGTGAATGTGTAGGGGAATCCAGCGTGGTTCAGCATAAACTGGACATTGGGGTTGCGACGAACCACCTCAGATGCCACCTGGAGTAGGATGCAAGTTGTCAGAAAAGATTGTGAGCAAGAGTCAATGCTGTGACAGAAAAAACCCTGTCTCTCTGTCTCTCTCTTTCCAACTTACTCACTCTCATACACAGCCACACACAGCCACACACATGCGCATCAGCACCCCTCCCCATCCCCAAACACACACACACACACAGACCGACACACGAACACACACGTGCGCACAGACACACATCCAGTAAAACGTACTGCAGATCTCCGCAATGACCACGCGCGCAGCACTCCTCCCCCGGCAGGCAAGATCAGAGCTTCCAGAGACACGCACAAGCTAGCACTACCTTCTCGTGGCGATCGGAAAGGATCTCAAAGCTGTTGTAGTACGTTATTTTGTGTACGTCGTGTGTACGTGGTGTTGGTGCATACTCGTGTTGCTGCCGCGTGAAAAAAGCAGCCCTCGTCTTGAGTTTGTCTTGTCATTATAAAAAAATTCAAGGTTCACGTGAGACTCGACAGGAAGCCGAGTTTTCCGTATCTGCAGGAACGCCACCACCCTCTAGGATCAAGGTGCAGATGCAGCTCCTAAGCGGTATGTGTATGTGTGTGTGTGTGTGTGGGGGGGGGTGAGTAGATCAGACCCATGGATGCAGTGAGTGGGGATTTTCGGTCATAATAAACAGTCTTTCTAAACATAGCTATCTCGTTGTCCATTGTCTAAGTGTAGAGATGGCACGGGGCAGGAAGCTGGAATGAGGAAGTGCAGCTACAACAACGCGTCTCTCACCTGCATCTGCGGCACGTGTATCTGCATGTCAAACGACAAGTTATGCTTGGGCAGCAGCTGCAGACCCGTCAGCCAGGCGTCGTCCGTCATGAACTTGTCGTGTGGGCACTGGCGCCACTGCTCGTTCGTCGGGTGATAGTCGATCATCTGCCGGATGCCGCGCATGTTCGAGTACTGGCAGTGGGCGGCCAGCACCGAGTCAACGTCGGGTTTCGTCAGGTCCGCGTACGCGACAATGCCTGAGCGAGAAGACACGGACACACAAACAAATCACGTTAATTAATAGGCAGTCTAGTGGGTAAGGTTACAACGGGTAGGGGTTTGGCCGGGTAACGAGTTCGGGGATTTCTATCCGGGTAGCACGGGTACCCTATCGGGTATTTTTTTGGCATAGTTTGTACAGTGAGTGTGCACTTGCGCTACATAGAAAGTGTACAGTAAGCACGCAGCCGCGCTTTTTACATGCACCGTTGCAAAAAAAACCCAGAGAACTCCAACTACCCGACCGGGTTCTCAGGAGCAAACTGCTACCCGAATACCCGCTCGAATTACGGTTAGCACGGTCACCCTACTACTCGATGACATCCCTACACTCGATGACACCCCTACTACTCGACGACACCCCTACACTCGACCCTCTCATACACAAGCACCTCAGGGACCAACGGGTGTACTGCGAGTCTACAAACTGTCCGTGCGTTCAAATCTCGGCCTCCCGGGGCTAAGCACAGTTCGGCCGCATTACAATTTTCGGCCTGTACTGCTGCTGCCTGTATACACTGTCACACTGAACCCTTGCAAAACAAAAGTTCGGCCGCAAAAAATTTTTGGGCCAAAAATGCCCAGGCCGAAAGTAGCCGAAAATAAATATACCCCGAATATTTGTTGATTTACAGTGCACAGTTCAGAATGATTTGTAGCCATGGTAACTCCGAAGCTGTCGTACGCAAGGTCATGTGGTGGGATATTCCGGTTCTTAGGGCTCTCGGGAACGGAGATGAACATTTTTGCTATCCTTTTTTTCAACTTGGTAAACGAAAAGTATGAAACTATTAAAGAGTGGCATGAAAAATTCTAGATTTCCAGCACTCAACATCACGGCCGAAAACAGGCGTGTAACCGTGCCGTGCCGTTGAATATTACTTACTCCGGCAATATAGTAGACCCCCCCCCCCCAAACACACACTGACACACACACACACGGGACGTCTAGCCAAACACTGCGCATCCAAAGAGCACACTGACACATATACATACCTCAGACCTCAGACATGCCCATCGCGGAAGCGATGATAGCGAACAGCTATGTTAGACATAGCAACTTGTGCTGGGATTACACCATTCAACAGCTTGCAAGGCTGATGAATTGACCGCCACTATTTTTAGCCTGGTATCCACCACACAGCTGTTTGAAGTGACTTTTTCTGGCCAGTGAATCCCTATTTTTCCTTTTTCCATTTTTTTTACGCACACACACCACACCACATACTCCGGCATACACTGGCTGTTGGTAACCACCCAGGAGAATGAAAGAAAAGTCAGGAAGAGTCCGAGAAAGAGAAGAAAGACGTGTGCGACCATAATCGTCGGGAATTGAACCCGCAACCTCTCGATTGGAAATCGACTGCACATACCACTGCACCATATGGGACACACATATACATACACACACACACACACACACACACACACACACACACACACACACACACACACACACACACGGGGATGTCTAGCCAAACACTGCGCATCCAAAGAGCACACTGACACATACACACACACACACGGGGACGTCTAGCCAAACACTGCGCATCCAAAGAGCACACATACACATACACACACACACGGGGACGTCTAGTCAAACACTGCGCATCCAAAGAGCACACATACACATACACATACACACACATCAGACCAGGCTAGCTCACACGTAGGATGCATAAGAGGAAAAGGGACAGCAACATGGTACAAGCTATGACCATCGGTCCACCAAGATAACAAGATAGTGCCAGGGGGAGAGAGAGAGAGAGCGAGAGAGCGAGAGAGCGAGAGAGAGAGAGAGAGAGAGAGAGAGAGAGAGAGAGAGAGAGAGAGAGAGAGAGAGAGAGAGAGAGAGCGAGAGAGAGAGAGAGAGAGAGAGAGAGAGAGAGAGAACAAGGCACAATGCTGACGGTGAGTACATGTACTGGCACATTCAAGGACTAGCTCCAACACATCTACGACGCGCAAACCGTCCGAGTTCATAAGCTCACCGGTAGGAAATCCCGATTTGTCACTGATCTCTTGCAGCCACCTGCACGGAAGAGAAACGGAAACAAAAAAACCAAACATTGAAGCGGTGCGAGTGAGGTCTGGTTTCAACGGCTACAGTGGTCGCAGCTGAAATCCAACCCCAGCTCGGTGCGCTCACACTGCAAAACACCACAACACGTGTGCTTGTACACTACAGAATAGAGACCGCTAGGATCTGTGCTGCACTCGAGCATGAACATCACAGGTCTGATTTCAGCTGCCGCCATGTACACGGTTCAGATTTTTCGGATGTGCAAACTCCATTGCAGCTACCTACAAATTGCCTAGTCTAAAGAAACACTCGCATAATACGGCCCCTTTGCTGCAAAAACCTCTCTATACTGATTCACCAAAATTTTGGGTATAGCCCATCCCTCAGCGTGAAACAAAAAGAAAGAGGAATGACAGAGAATCGGAGTAGATATGTTGTGAGGTGCAGTAGGAAAGTGATATCGGCATGAGGAGGAGCACGGGAAATGTGGCACGTGCGCCTCTACAATTGTAGCTACGTCGCACGTCTTCTACGTCTTCTACGTCGCACTAGTATTCATACACAGACTTGGGTGCACACTTTCTCCCGGCACCTTCACCAGCGCTCCTAGTCTCCACACATACACACCTAAGCTGACACATTTCTCACACCGCTGATCTTAGCATCTGTGTACTGCACCTTACAGCATAGCGATGATACCTATAATTGTGCACAACTTCTTTGCCTGTATTTAGTTTTATTGTTTCATGCCAAGGATGGGCCATGCCCGACAATTTGGTGAATCAGCATAGATTCTTGATGCAATCCGCACCCAGTCCCCACACAAATACCGGAATACCCACCATTATAGTATTGTCTGGTAATTGCACGGTTGTGCACGAAACTCTGAGTTACAACCATAATTATAGCCGTTCTGCCCACTGTTTGAGTGTTCTGCGCTCTGCCTCCACGGCATTTCGAGCACTCTTTGCACACTAGGTGCATCCCTCGTGCATCTGACCAGCAGTATAGAGAAGTTTTAGTAGCAAAGAGATACTACTTTGAAGTATGTGAGCACTCAGACTAGGCAACACCAAGGTTGCAGCCAAAAGGGGGAGGGGGGGGGGGGGGGGGGCTACTTCGTGTGCGCACCCTCCGTGAAAGTGCCCCCCCCCTACTCTTTTTCCGATTTTTCGTGTTTTTTCATGCCATTCAGTGAAAAATGCAGTCGATAGTCAGTACTGGTGGACAGGGTTCATAGAGGCACTTTCGTCTGGGGTGAAATCAGGTGTTCGCCCCGTTTGTTGCATTTCATATTGCAAGACAGTTATTTTGAAAATGGAAAAATGGGTTACGGGGTAACTGTTTTCCCTGCCCCCCCCCCCCCCCCCCCCTATTTTGACCTGGCTAGAACCCTGAACGTGGTCTATGAAATTAATATTTCTATTCGCCCGACCCTGGGACAGGCCCCGGGTCAAGATACATGTACTGTTCAATCACTAGTCCTATTCCCCAACCCTTGGACCTGCCCTTGGTTGGGACACTATTCAATCACTATTCCTATACCCCCCCCCCCCCCCCCTCCAACCCTTGGACCTGCCCTTGGTTGGGACACTATTCAATCACTATTCCTATACCCCCCCCCCCCCCCAATCCAACCCTTGGACCTGCCCTTGGTTGGGACACTATTCAATCACTATTCCTATACCCCCCCCCCCCCCCCCTCCAACCCTTGGACCTGCCCTTGGTTGGGACACTATTCAATCACTATTCCTATACCCCCCTCCAACCCTTAGACCTGCCCCAAGTCGAGATACTGTTCATTATCCTCCTGCCCCCCCCCCCCCCCCCCCCCCCCCCCCACTCGCCCAACCCCGCCCCACATATCCCACACATGCACAAATACCTACTTGGTTTCTTCCACGGGCTCCCCGCTGAAATGCGCTTGCACATGGACGGATTTGGTGACATTGAAAGTGGCTGCGTCCTGGGCATAGTCTTCCACGTGGTAGTTCAATACAGATCCTGGATAGGCGTGCAAGAAGGACGAATAGAGAGGAACATGACCTTGTGTTTTGTTTCTCAGTAGTTCTGTCCGCAGATTGAGTATTCCGTTCCTGCTCTTGTAGTGAATGAGCACTCTCATTGTGGGGTGGTGTGCCATTGCTGTTTGCATTACTTAGAGCTCACTGACTTGTCACTTTGAGCATTCCGGCAAGGTACGTTCGGGCCTAGAATATTATCTGGCTTGGAAAATGAATGATTCGAATGATTCCCTTGTGACTGGCGTGTGTGTGTCACTGTGTATGTGCACGCGTGTCTAATGTGTGTGTATGCATGTGTGTGTGTGTGTGTGTGTGTGTATGCATGTGCGTGTGTGTATGCGTGTGAGTGTGTGCGTGTGTGTGTGTCCCATATGGTGCAGTGGTATGTGCAGTCGATTTCCAAACGAGAGGTTGCGGGTTCAATTCCCGACGATTATGGTCGCATGCATCTTTGTTCTCTTTCTCATTCTCCTAGCTCTTCTTTCATTCCCCTGGGTGGTTACCGACAGCCAGTAGTGAGGTTCTGCTCTACGTTATGGGAACGCGACGCGAAGAATCCCGGGAACTCTCTTCGCGTTCCCGTAACGTGAAGACAATCTGTTCTGCTCTACGTTCACGTAGAGAAATCACTTGGAATGTGTACTGGGATTTCCCCTTCCATATATGGTAGTTTTCTGGCCTGCATTTGATAGATGTCTAGCAAATCTGTACGCATTTTCTCTGCGTGTGCCACAACGTAGAGAACCTCATCTACGCGTAGAAATCTGGACCCAAAACACACGAAGCAGTAGACTCTAACCCAGACACATGCTCTCTACGTGATTTCTCTACGTTTCACGTATAGCAGAACCTCTCTTGTGTATGCCGGAGTATGTGGTGTGGTGTGTGTCGAAAAAATAAAAAATAAATAAAAAAAATGGAGACCCAAAAATAAAAAATGGAGATTCACTGCCAGAAAAAGCCACTTCAATCAGCTGTGTGGTGGATACCAGGCTAAAATTAGTGACGGTCAATTCATCAGCTTTGCAAGCTGTTGAATGGTGTAATCCCAGCACAAGTATTATGACAATGTCTACATAGCTGTTCGCTATCATCGCTTCCGCGATGGGCATATCTGAGTCTGTCTGAGTCTGCGGGCGCGTGTTGTTAGTACATGTGTGTGATTCAGATATTGTGCCATTGTTATGAGAGAAAGGCAATGGGGGCACAGCCAGTGTGCGGACTTGGAACGATTTTCGTGCTTACGGCGGTGGTGGTTGTTGTATGTGTGCGTGTTTGTGTGCGTGCAACTGTATGCATGATCTTATATGGTCAGTATAAGCGCCACACACAGCCATCTCGAAAATTCTAAGCCACCAATACGCATCATACTGGACAAATCATAAAATACTAAATCGCAGGAGCACTCACGGAAGGGCCCGGCCGGGTGGCCGCTCTCTGCAACCTTCTCCAGCCAATCGTGTGTCTTGGGCGACCAGAAGTGATGGTGCGGGTCCACGGCGTTCTCAATCTTTTGCAGCGACGGCATTTTGATTTTGAAATCGCTACGTCTTCGTCCCACTCTAGAGAATAAAAAGAAGGCGCTTTCTGAAGCTTGAAGCCAACTCTACAGAGGTTGGATGTTGTGGAAGCAGCAGAAAACGAAGTTTGCTTTGATATGGAAGGATCTCACTCACTCTCAGCTGATTGCATGCACGCGCACCAAGTGTTTGTCTCCGCAGGCTTGGTTCCACGGGGGTGTTGGACGAAATACACGAACTGGTCTGGAGCAACGGAGTTCTTGGGGGTCAGTCTGTCAACGTTGTGTGCCACCTATGTCTGGATAAGGAGTGCAGGTTGACAAGACAAACTTAGTCCGACAGCTGCAATTGTGTGCGGGTAGTAACCAAATCAAAGAAACCTGTCACACGACACACGTGCAAGTAATAATAATTATTAGTTTCGAAAAGAGTTCAATGAAAGAAAAACACCCACACGCGCGCTTTGTTTGGCCATCTACAAAAAAAACTTTTTGCCGAAATGACCACCGGTGCACCTTGTACGTACCTGCCCTGCACATGCATATGCATTATGCACATGGACATGCACAGTGCAGTGTGAATTTTATTATGTATGTGCATGTTCTTCAATCTTGACTACATGTACGAGTACGATGTCATTCAAGAGGGATCGTCTGGAACATGAGCGCACAAATGTATGTACATGCACAATACAATCAGTAGTATAAAGTAGGAACACGGGTCCATGACTGTCATGTACCGGTATCCTCGAGCTCTCTCGGTCACTGAGAACACAATTTCCAAAACATCTATGTCTGTACTACAGCGTAGTACTGATGTACAGTACAGTGTTGCTCAATGAAATCCAGTCCCATCGAGTCGCGCAAGTACCGGTACGCGCCGGGCGCTGCGCAGCCCTCGACCAGCGAACACTGGGCTGCGGCGCACACTTGAGTGACGCGACTGGATTTCATTGAGCAGCACTGTAGCTGCACCGCGCTGTGTGCCCGGAGATCCAGTACTGTAATGAACAATAAAAAAAATCAGGAACAGCAATCACCATATTCAGGCAACAGCCGGCTAGCCACCGAGCACAACACAGCCCGCCGTCTACACAACTCGCACGCACATTCACGTGCACGCCGGCGTCGGGACAGATGGACACACATGCACGTACGTCAGGGAGTCGTCAAGTACGTATTTGACGACTCCCTGACGCCCGGATGCACACAGATCTGTACTTGTCTTGCTCACTGCGGGGAACCACGCAGTCACCATGGTCACGCAGGTCGCCTCTCGCGCAGAGAGGTTTGAAAGAAGTCTTAGAAAAGTAAGCAACTGGCATAGTTGAACAAGCCCAGACCTTCACAAAGTACGGTTGGATCTGGAAATATGGTCCCACTGAAGTTACGTGGTCACCATACCGCAGTACGCGGTCGAGGACAAGGCAACCAAAATGATTGACAGCTTCAGGACATCCATTCGTTATGCGGATTCAACAGAGTTAAACTCCATCCCTAGCGAACATTGCACTTGGCACACGCGTGGCTTGCAATATCAAAGAAGATCGGCTGTAGATTTCACCAGCACCATTGGCTACGCATGAGTTTACCTACACCCTGTGTTAAGCTAGTAGCCCAATTGCACACATGCACAAACATACACACACGCGCACACACATACACACACACACATGCTCCCTCTCACATACGCACGCACACGCACTTACACATATCTTAACCTAATCAGCATCCACGTAGTAATCTACAGCCAACACGTCAAGTCTCCTTTCATTAAAAAACAGAACATGTACTGAAGTATAATTATAGCATCGGTCTATTGGGTGGGGGCTGCCTGTAGCAGCATATCTGTTCAACTATCTCACAGCATGCCAAACGCACTTGTCTACCGGATGCTGAACATCTTGCCCTTGACGAAGAACCTCTTCATCACACGCCTTCGCTTGTACCGCAGGAACTTGGAGCTCGGACGTATCCATGGCGACTTGGCATTCATCTGCTGCGGGTAGCGGCGGTTGATGAATTGGCCACGCTTGCGTCTATGGTTCTTGAGCGCCCGGATACTTCCCTTCTGGTACTCCTTCCTCATCAGGTGTACCTTGCGCTCCACTTTCTCCTTGACGAGGTACTCGTGGATTTCCTCGGAGTTGAAGCTGCGCAAGTCCCACTGCTTCATCCACGGCTCGTCGATGTGCTCTTCGTTGTCCTGTGGCTCCACCGTGACGCTCTTGCGCGCTCGCTTGTTGGCGTCGGCAGCCTCCTCGGCGGCATCCTTCTCCTCTGGCTCGCCTTCCATGCTGTCGGCTTCTATCGTCTCGATCTTGGGCGCGGTAAGGTCTGTGGTCTCCTCGCCGAGACGCCGGATCTCCTCGTCGGCAAGACGGAACGCTTCGTCACGTTCAAGCAGCACCTTGCGCAGGTTATCCATGGACTCTTCGATCTTCCAGAAGCGCTCCTGGCCCGGCATCTCCACTCTCAGGCGACGTGCAGACCATTTGAGCGTGTCGAGCATGTTACGTTCTTTCAGCAGGACATACCAGAGCTTATGCAGGTCCGTGTCACTCTTCAGTCGCAGATCTGTGACATCCCAGGCTCGCCCGGAGCGATTACGCTCATTCGGATGCTGCGACAGGTCAGGAAAGAACTCCTCCAGGCCAAGCCGTGGCACACTGGTGCTGACATAACGTGCTGCACATTCAACAGCTGCACAATTACTGCCCAGTTTCCATTTCGCTGCTGACAAGCGTGATGCCTGCTGCACCAAGTGAGCTGACGAGACGAGCGACCTCAACATCCCTAGATCCCTACCATGTCCCTAGCTCGTCCTCGCCAATAGGTTATTGCTATTTCCTAGAGAAGTATTCCATCAGTCAACAATGCTTTACAATTTTGGAAAAATAGTTTTTTCGCCAGCTTTCCAAACTTTTCCAAACGCAAAAAACAAAATCGAAATGACCGAAAATATTTTTCCAGCTTTGATTTTCGTGGCGCCATTTTCTGTTCCATGACAACGGAGATCTGTCGTGATGTCGCCGCATCATGTCGGTCGACCAATCGGCGTGTGACATTTCGCTAGTACATGGTCGATCGACGAGTAGCGACGTTCGACGTAGTCCGTACAGTGACAGACCGACTCATCAGTGCATTCAAAAGTAACATCCACTGTCTGTTCCAGCGCTGTCTTTCCAAGTCCAAGATCACTCATCAGTGAGCATGGCGACTTGAGAAGTAAAGTCTAAAGACTAAAGCCAAGGGTAAAGTGTGAACAACACAACAGCGACTCTGAGATAATTGATTTTTTTGACAAGTCAGATTCAGTGCCGCCAACCTAATACGTAATAGTAATACCTTGCGCACACTTGACCATTGTAAATTCGTATTACCGTATTACAGCCTCGAAGTACGTGCCCAACACGCGCCCTCCATTCATTTTTTTTCAATTGAATTACTACTATATTAGGCTACTACCGGTACAAGTACAAGTAGAGTATTTCCGAAGGAGCCGGGTCTCGGGGGTACTAGTAGGCGACGAGTATTCTGTAACAGACTGGAGCACCTGTTGGCAATGAGAACAATAGCGACCAGAGAACGAACACCTGGTCTCGCCCGTCCGCTGTAGCGGCGATATATCAGCGGTGCCGGAGAGAGGCATACAGGCACACGTGGAAGGTGAGCATGCATGAGTGCTCATGATGTTGCGCGGTCAATTATGCGTTCCACCACAGTCAAAAATAATATACAGTAAGATCAAGAGTAGATAAACAAGAGTGTGCAACTCCGGATCTCTCCTGCACAATCTGCAGATAGTGTAAAGCCGGCCCACGGCGGAATTTTTTGTTGACGTCACCTTTTTTTCAGAAGAATGCGCATTTCGCCGCAGAGCAGTGTGAGAGCACGTGCTGGGCACCGACCTTGTAGTGTAAAGCCGGCCAAGAGAACGAGGGAAAACTTTCCGAAAGACTCGCAGCTCGTGCGTCGTCGAAAAGATTACGTCAACAAAAAAATCCGCCGTGGGCCTACCCATCCGCGAGTTGCACACTCTTGTTTATCTACTCTTGGTAAGACCTGTAACTAAATACCACCGTGATTAGCGACCAGCCTGGTACTACAGACCACTTCGCCAGGCATGGACGGTCTCGCATGGCTGCGTGGTGCAAACCTCTAACTAGGGACCACCTGCCACTAAAGACCACTTTCCCTGGCTCCAAGGGGTGGTCGTTAGTCACAGATTGTACTGTACAGTCGACTCCTGATATAACGAACACGAGCAGGAAAACTAGTTCTTTAAAAATTAAAACCGAAGTTCTTTATAACAGAAATGCACTCGGCACACCATACAAGCGACGCGTCACAACTGGCATGTTGCCAATGCCAACTGCCACATGGATGCACTTGGTTTGTACACGGTACGGCCCGACTAGTACAAGATACGGCTCGTTATGAACGAAACCTGTTTGCTACAAATGGTCAATTTGTTATGGCCGGTACAAACAGGGACATGGGCACTGGTTCGCTAGATCACGAAATTCGCCACGTACGAGTTTGTTATCGGTCAGGGAATCGACTACTTGATACGCAATGGAAAAGCCGAGGGAGTTGCTTCTCCAATAATACTAGTACAGTGCTGTATTTGTATTTGTTTGTATTTGTATTTGTATTTATGGATTCTCCACAGGCCTTAGCCTAAATCGAGGGAGTCTCCGTTACTGTCGGGCGCCGAAGAACCGGGGGGGGGGGGGGTCAGGGTTCTAGCCTAGCCCGTTCTTATTTTTAGCGAACACAGCGGTTTCGTTCTTATTAATGGTACAGTCTTACACGTACACGTACATTTATGCAGAGTTGTACGTCTGAGTGTACATTATAGTGTACATTACGGTTTCCGTTCCTGTCTGCGAAAAAT